CCTGTCCTTAGCTCTGCAGTCAGTAGTCATGGGTCCAGCAGGCGGACCTCTCATGCTGTGCAACATCTACCTGGACCTCCTTGCTAAAGACCTGATCGGTTGGAGGTGCTGGCTCCTTTTTAAAGTTTAAATCTTGATTTTAAAGACGGATGGAAATGTTTAAATGAGCAGATATTCCATCAGTGTATTTTATCTGCACGACGGAGTCTGAGTGTCTTGATTTTCTCCCCTGGATAAATAAAGGTTAAAGACAACATGTTAAAGCGCCTGACGTCACACAGATGACGTCGACGCCGTTTAGAGTGACAGCTCAGCAGGACAACAGCTTATTCACCAACGTCCAGCTCTACCCGATAAAGACGCAGCGGTGAGGTAGCGACCTCCGACCGCTTCCTCCTCTCTGTTTTCATGTTCAACGTACAAACGAGCAAATGATTCATTAATAGTCTGCGACCACGTCTCGCCGCAGCTGTCACTCACCTGCATGTTCCTCTTGGTGATCTGCTGGCTCAGGTGGACTCGGCCCGTGCTCGGGTCCACGCCCTTCAGCGGCACCACGGCCTCGCCGATGACGTCGTCGCGGGCGAAGCGGTCGAAGCTGAGGACCAGGAAGTGCAGGGTGAGCTCGGGCAGCGAGCTGTAGGCCACGCCGTAGAAGGTGAAGGTCTCGTCGAACAGCGGGTCCAGGGTCTTCCTCAGCACGCGGGTCTTGACACGGGCTTCTTCTCCGGCAGGATGGTCATCTTCACGTACGGGTCGAGCTGCCCGCCTGCTCGTCTATGGCGGGAGGCCCGGGCCCCGACGATGGTCACCACCAGGGCCTTCTTGGGGAAGTTGTAGTCGACGGTGAGGCTGATGGCCCCCAGGCTGGGCTCCGGTTCGGGCTCCGAGGACGCAGGGGTGAAGGGGGACGCGGTCTTGCTGCTGGTCTGGCTGCTGCTGGCTGAGCTGTCCAGGCAGCAGTAGTCGGCGCGGACCGGCAGAGCCCGCTCCAGCCGGGCCTGGTTGAGGGCGGGGCCCGCCCCGGCGGGGGGGACCAGGTGACCATCTGCAGCTGCCCGGGACGTCCAGGATGTTGTTCTCAGCGTCCACCAGCACATGCCCTCCCCGTGGCGGCGGGGCAGCCTCGCTCTCCTCGCGTCGGAGCGCTCCACGCGGCGCATGCTGCGTACGATCCTCTTGCTGCTGCTGAGGGATTCTGGGTAATGCTGATGCCCTCAACATGTGGATGAACTTGTAGGGGGG